CACCAACTCAATCTACTTAATAGAATTAAAGGGGCTCAATTCCAGTGAAATTAAAACAGTACAACCTGTTTCTCTTGAAGGTTGGTATTGCCGGCAGAACTGGTGCTGGGAAAAGTTCTTTGATGACAGCTCTGTTACGCTTGGCTGAACCCACAGGTAAGGTCATGATAGATGGTGTTCTAATCAGTGACCTTGGACTGCATGACCTTCGAAAGAGTATTTCAATAATACCCCAGGTATATAAAGTTTTATTTAAAATATGTAACATGCATACATTGTTGTTGAAATTTTCCAATGCCCATAACACAATTAGGAATTGTTGACCCCCTTGGGTGCAAGTTTTGTACCGCAGAGTAATTCTGTCACAGAAACTTCCGTTCTATTTCATACTACTGTGCATGCTAAGCCTCTAATTTTGCAGGGGAAAGGAATTTTGCATTAGGCTAAATAAAATTATTTTCTAGTTTCACATGCCTGCCCTCATCAAATTCTGGAGCCTTATGAAAAAGTTTACTATTTGCTATTTAAAAAAAAACAATAATTTTTCCATGTAAAAAAGAAATATCTGAAAGATTACTTTCAGAGGCTAAGAAGAGGTGGAAACTTAAATAGAATACATTACAAATGATTTTTATACTACTTTTTATATCAAAACATTTGTTTATTATTTACCAGCCTGTTTACAACTAGTATAGAATAGCAAATAGTAATTATCTTCACCAATAAATAATTTCAGGTTCCGGATGTGAAACTAACATTATTCTTAGGTTTAGAGTGTGGTAAAAATGTTAACATTGCACAACTTTTGTGTTTAGGACCCGGTTTTATTCAGTGGATGCCTTCGGAGAAACTTAGATCCTTTTGGAGAGCACAATGAAATTCAGCTGTGGAGAGCATTAGAAGAGGTTTGGATACTTCTAAACATATTTTTTAATGTTTACATTCAAATATATTATATTAAACATAGTTACTTTACAGACACAAGATTCAAGATTCTTTATTTCTGTCCGTTCATAAAATCAGTTGGTACATCACATTGCAAAACAAAGTGCAAGATTAATACTAACCAACAACTGCAATAAATTATAATTAGGTCTTAAAACCTATTTGATACTTTGATTAAGAATTCTAATGGATAGTAGTTCGAATGAATTGAGATATCTATTTGTTCTACAGGTTTGTGATTTTAACCTTTAACCAGAGGGTAGCCAAGTAAAAAATGCGTTTAGAGGGTGGAAACTATCTGTTAAGATACTCTTTACTTTATCAATAATTTTAATCTCACAGATATCATTTAGTTTGTTGTATTCTGTTATAATCGGTTTTTTTTTCTTAAATTATCAAACCATACATAACTTCCAAACAAAAGAGAGCTTTCAATAACAGAAGAATAAAAAAAGCTCATACCGCTCACTATACATGTATCAACATTGAATGAGACCACAATTTCCTTAAGAACTGGAGGGGTGTCATACTCTTCTTAAAAATGTTATCACACTGTTCCCCCCAGTTTAACTTATTATCAATCTCTAAACCAAGGTATTTAAGTTTGTACCTGGATATTCTCACCTCAAAGCTAGGCTACGGACGAATCATTTTTTATATATGATTTACAACAGATTTTTCTAAGGCACAAAAGTGTGTTTGACGAAAAACTTGGGAACAGTATAGATATATAAGTGTAATGATATTATACTGCCATTGCTGCTGTTGTTGCTATATTACTATTACAGCTGCTACAAACTGTTGCTGTATTGTGCTGTTTGCTACTGTTACTTCTGTTGCTATTATTCATTAAACTGGAGTTGGAGACTTTTTATATTTTTGCATTTTTAGGTTCAACTTAAATCAACGGTTTCAGAGTTGCCTGAAAAACTAGGAGCACCTGTTTCAGAAGGCGGGAGCAATTTTAGCGTAGGTCAACGGCAACTTCTGTGTTTAGCTCGAGCTCTGCTCCGTCACACTCGTATCTTGATTGTGGATGAAGCCACCGCTAATGTGGATATCAAGTAGGACTTAATTTGTTTAATTATGTGTTTGAGGCTAGACTTCTTTATACCTCAACCACCAATAACGGTGATTTCAAATAATCATTTTTGGCCAGCATCCTCACGAAAAATGGAAATTTTAGAAAATTTTAATTTGGTTTCAGTATGCTCTCTTTTTCCATGAAATCTCCAAAAATATGATATATATAATTTTTCCTTAATTATATAAATATATAGCAATTATCAATCTCATTACTGATTTTTTCTTTATTTTCTTCCCACTTAGTTGCTTTTGGCAAAATTAAAAAAGAAAATTTAATTTTAATTTTTTTTTTCTCCCTTTTCTAACAATCTATAAAAAAAAAAGTATGTAATGATATTATAATACCAAACAACACTATCCAAGTTTAATTTTCGAATATGGGTGATGTAGATTTGAATTTGTATAATATTTGAACTTCCTAAATTTTTGGATTAAATTGGGAGAATAATGTGATTGATTTTATATCTGTTGGTGTATTTTATTAGAACCGATCAGCTTATTCAGGCAACAATTCGTGAGAAGTTTAAACACTGTACTGTGTTGACAATTGCCCATAGACTGAACACCATTATGGACTCGGATCGCATCTTGGTAAATTGCTTTTTTTATATGCTATGCTTTTGTTTTTTGACAAATACATAAATGTAGCCCCTAATAATTCTTATTTTTTATTAAGTTTTATGTGTACGGTTATCATTATTCATAGCAATATACTCCATATTTCATTACAAAAAAATACTTGAAGTCTGTCTTGATAGTTTTACTGCTAGGAAATTCTGGAGGGAAAAATTATAAATCTATAACATAATTTACAAATTACATCTAAAAGCCCAAACACTTACGGTCTCAACACTGTTAAAATTTATAATTTTCCAATTATTTGTTATCACTTTAATTTCCAGGTGTTACTGTTACATATAATGCTGTATTTGACTGCTAACTATTTACTCAAAACATACACTAATCTGTAATTATATTAGTACTATTTTAAGAAATATATTGTCAGTTTGACGCCAAGCATTCAGTTTCAGTATCATCATTCATCTTGCCTTGAATGGAATGAAATGTTCATCACGTTCATTTTCAACCGTTCGAAGGCCGTGTTTCCACAGCACTTACAATTTCTTTGATAATTTCTCCAATAAATTATCTTGAAATTCCCTCCAAATATTTTATCCCATCATGCAACATTATGAAAATTGCGATGTGTTCAACATCTAAACTTCTGACTTGTTGACCAGCAGGTGAACTTTTTTGGATGGGCCTAGGCCAAGAACAAAAACTAGGCTACTAACTACTAGAAACTAGCTACCCAAAAAAATTCTTTGCATGACCCTGGTTTGACATAGGTCAAAGATTATTTATTTTCCCATTCGGATCTTTTTCCAATAAGTTATCTGATTCTCGTGCGAAAATTTATCATAAACTTTGGGCCCTGTTTCCGCAGCGAAAAATAACAAAATGCCTGCTTTCTGATAATTGTGACCCAAGCTCACAAACTCGCACTGCACTGTATTGAGAAACAAGCCTCAGTACCCAGAAGAGGGCATAGAACGTGAATTTTGTGTGAATTGGATTTTTGTGTAATAAATAAAGTATAACTATTAATCTTACTATTCCTGAAGTTTGAGTCCAACTGTAAGAGGTAAAATTTACCCATTTTCGAATGGGAGCTAATGAAAAATGAATAGAAACCTGCTGAAAATAAAAGTATTTTTCTCAAAACTTGATTTAAGAAAGTTGATAAGATGACAATTATTCAAACGGTCATAACTTTGCTTCCAGACACCCAATTGAGTTCATTTAACTGTCATTTTAAAGTAAATGATATGTTCTATGCCATTATAACAAAAACTCATTTTGTCCTGAGGACGAGTTTACAGCCCGTTTGTGAGCTTGGGTCACAATTTATTGGATAATAAGTGTTAGGAAACGCGGCATGAGTAACGAACAAGTATAAATCTATTCTCTCATTTCCTTTATATTTAATATTGTATACTTCTATATTTGTTAAATTTGACATTTGACCTGTCCATCCTGCAGTTGTGGTCAGGGTACTCATCTAGGGTTATTGCAGTGTGGGTGTCCAGGTGGGCCAGATGTCCGTAAGGGGAGGAGGGCTTGATATCAATGACGAGAGCACTAGTGGGCAGGGCTACAGGCTGCGATATACCCTTTGGAGTGGTCCACTAGCCAAAGCCTATATGAAGCTCAGATAATTTTTTTTCTCCCCAAAAAACTGTTTTGCGTTTTCAACTGGGGGAGGGGTTGACTGGCCCATACTCATGGTGCCACCACTGGGTTATAGAAACTTAAAACACAAATGTCAATGCCATTTGAAGAAGCTGCTTCAGATATTTATTATTAATTTATTATTCTATATTTTTTTTATTTATGTTCAAGTATTACGATAGAAAACATTATACTGTTATTTTTATGATATATTTTTGATTCCTCAGATCCTCGATCAAGGAAAAATTGCTGAGTTTGATGAGCCATTCGTCCTGCTTCAGAAAGAAGATGGACTTCTTACAAAAATGGTGTCAGAAAGTGGACGGGCAGAAGCTGTTAAATTAATAGCTATTGCCAGAGAACAGTATTATAACAATTCAAGTGATCCGTACGGATTCAGTGATAAGAACATTCCATCATCACCACTTGAAAAACTTATACCTAAAGGTGTTATCAATCTCACTATTGAAACTAATTTATGATAACTGTCAT